ACTATTAACTCTGATGATGTCCCTCGAGCACATTCAAATCAAGTGATACTCTGTTCGATGAATGTGTTCGAATCCTTAGAGGAGTTAGAGGAGTGGTCTAAGGCTCCTAAGGGAGAGTTGTTCGTCGTCGAGCAAGGCCCCAACCTTTCGTTCGCCTATATCTATCTCGCCGACGAACAACTCTCCCTTAGGAGCCTTAGCCATGACCGGAGGAGGGTATGTACTTAGTATATGTCTCTGCAGCGGCTGAGCCGGTGAAAATGTATCCAGAGATAGAGAGAGTGATCGCTAATTATCATAATCTATTCAAAGAGCCAAAAGGGGTTGTTGAGAAGGAGGTCGTCCATGCGATAGAGATTATCCCATGGTCTAGTATTCCGAGGGGTAGGATCTATCGGATGTCTCCAGTGGAGCTTGATGAGCTTCGCCAACAACTCAAGGATTGGATCCGACCGAGTGTCTCCCCTCACGGATCGCTTGTCTTATTTGTACCGAAGAAGGGGAGAACGTTAAGGATGTGCATTGATTATAGGGGTCTCAATGCCATCCATGTGAAGCACACAAAGCCCCTACTGCGCATCGACGACTTGTTGGACCGAGTGCAAGGGTATCGGTACTTCAACAAGATAGATTTGAAGTTCGGGTACCATCAGATTGCAATCAGGCCTGAGGATCAACACAAAACCGCTTTTCAGACCATGCATGGTCTGTACGAGTTTGTGGTGATGCCTTTCGGCCTTTGCAATACTCCTGACACCTTTAAGTACGCGATGAACAAGATCTTTCATGACTACTTATCATGTACTTATCTTTAGTAGGAATGTCGAGGAACATGCAGCCCATTTAGACAAAATCCTCTCCTTCGGAAGCACCAGTTCAAGATTAACCGGGAGAAATGCGAGTTTGGCCGCACCCAGATCTTGTATCTGGGTCATGAGATTTCCGCGGAGGGATTGAAACCCGCTAACGCGAAGGTGACCAACATTCGTGACTGGTCGTGTTCTAGCCTGTAACTGAGGTGAGGTTCTTCTTGGGTATGGCAGGCTACTACCGCAATTTCATGAAGAACTATAGCATAGTGACCGCAATTTCGGATCTCCGACGGCTTGACACCCCGTGGGAGTGAACAGAGGTGTGAGGCTGTTTTTTTTTGCACTTGAAGCATGCTCTTACTCGCCATGAGATCTTGAAGCTGCCCGATCCTGACAAACCATTTATTGTGACTACGGATGCCAGACAATATGACATTGGCGCCGTACTTGTGCAGCAGGAGGGGAAAAAGTTGAGGCTCGTAGAGTATATGTCCAAAAAAGTGTCCTCTCATAAGTTGGCTAAGTCCACGTACGAGAAGGAACTCTTTGCGATTTAGAAAGCGCTGATTTACTGGAGGCACTACCTCCTTGGACGATTCTTCTACGTCGAGACTGATCATCAGACCCCGAGGTGGAGGAGGACCCAACCAGTACTCTCCGATGCTTTGAAACGCTGGATCGAAGTCATAGAACAGTATGACTTTGAGCCACAGTACATAAAAGGGGAGTATAACAAGGTTGTTGATGCGCTGTCCCGTAGACCGGACTTCCTTGGTGTGTTGATTACTGAGTTTGGGCTTGTGGACGATGTGACTCGATCATTGGTGGAAGCCTATTGCGAGGATCCATTCATGGCAGAGATCATACGCAGACTCGAGGCGAAGGATACCTCTGATGAGTTTGTGTTGGTCAATGGCCTGCTTGACCCTCGAGAAGGCAGGGAATAAACGTTTGCGTGTTCCCAATAGAGAGTCTTTGTGTAGGTAACTTTAAGAGAATGCCACGATGCCACCAGACATTTTGGTTACAAGAAGACTGCAGCCAACCTGTTGCAGTAGTTCTGTTGGCCCACCATGATGAAAGACGCCAAGCTGTACGTGGAGACTTGTCAGGTGTGCCAACGGGACAAGCCACGGACACAGGCTCCTCTTAAGCTACTCAAGCCCCTTCTGATTCCGGAGAGGCCAAGTGAAAGTCTATCCATGGACTTCACGGATACGCTGGTCACCAGCAAAAGTGGTATGAGATATGTCTTTGTCATTGTGGACAGGTTTAGTAAGTACGCTAGGTTAGATGCGATGCCCAAAACAACTAAAACCGAATACGTGATTAGACTGTTTAAGGAAACAAAAATAAATAAATAAAAATGGGTTAGAGACTTTGGTCTACCGAAATCTGTTTTTTAGTGAACGGGATGTTCATTTCACAAGTGAGTTGTGGAAGGCTGCAGCTGCTGAACAATGGACCCAACTGTAGATGACCTCCAGGAACCACCCAGAGGCAACGGACAAGCCGAGCAGATGAACCGCGATGTACAACACCTGCTGAGGCATTACATCAAGCCCAATCAGGTGGACTGGGATGAGAAGCTTGCTCTCATCGCCAGCCTGTACAATAACACAGTACACAACGTTACAGGGGTGAGTCCCAACAGTCTGCTACTAACCTTCAAGCCTAGACTTCCTACTACTTGAGAGTCAGCCGGCTGCTGTGCCAGACACTCTTGAATTTGCCTACCAGTACGAACGCCTAATGCAGCAAGCTGTAGAGCAGATGCACAAACTGCAGGCGGCAATGATTGAATCAGAAAATCAACATCGCCGCCCATCTACATTCCAGGTAGGGGACAGAGTCTGGGTCAACGCTTCTGAACTGGGGCAGGAGCATGGGATCTCCCGCAAGCTCATTGCACAGTATTTTGGACCCTAGGAGGTACTAGACATCGTCGGGGAAGACCCTGACGGACCCTCCTACGTAATCCGAATCCCTGGTCACCTTCGTACTTACCCTGTTTTCCACGCCTCCAAACTTGCACCTTCCAATGAGACTGATCAGTTTCTCACTCGCCGGTCAATGCTGCCCCCAACCATGGATGGAGAGGTCAACATCGACGACATTGTTGACCACAGGGAAATGCCGGTTCCAAAACCGACAGGCAGAGGCCGTCCTCCGAAGCCAAAGCTGCAGCATAGTGTTCGGTTCAGACATCACACCGATCCAAAGGAGGACAGATGGTTTACGAGAGAGGAACTGATGCAGACCGCTCCCGCGGTTGTCACTCATTATGAGAAGTCATTGCAGAAAGGAAAGCGCCAGATTGACTAATCGAAGTATGGAGGAGGGAATGCAAGGCTCAAGGCCTCGGTAAGCCCTTTCTGGGCCCTGTATCAGCAAGTACGGCCGCCCTAAGTGAAGGCGGGCCTGCCAAGTGCTGAGATGCCTATTTTTATGTTTGACGCAACTGGGGGAAATTCAGGCAGTTATGCAGCGTCAGTTGGTTGAGTGAGGCCAGGCCCTGCCTATCAATATCTCCGGCCTCCTGGCCTTTTTTCGAATGAATCGCAGGCAGGCCCTAGGCCAGACACGGGACACAAACTGAATACAGCCCGCCTGGCAGTTGGACGCGGCTAAATTTTGAATATTACCTAGGCTACAAGAGTGGCCCGGGATCATTTGCCCGGCCGGGACCGGAAAAAAAAAAAAAAAAAAAAAAAAAAAAAAAAAAAAAGTTTTTCTTTTTTATAAAGATTCCCCTTCCCCCCCCCTCCCTTTTCCTTCTTATATTAGGGCCCAGTGCCCAAGGCAAAAATACGTCAGAAAGCTGCAAATTCAGGGGTCGCAAGGCCTCTCAAGGCCTCCAATCCCACTTCATTGGGTGGAGCCACCCTGAGAAGTTGTTCAGTTTCTGTTTATGAAAAAGGACTTGTTCAGTTTATTTTTCTGCATAACATAGTTTTTTTCCAGGTTTTACTTTTATTTGTTTGTTTGTTTTCTTTTTCCGCTGTGACCTTTTTTGGTCCTTGCACGGCCGGGCCAACCGGCAAACAAGGTGCCCCGGGCCGCCCGGCTGGTGGCCTAGAATACTTTTTTTTTTTTTTTTTTTTTTTNTTTTTTTTTTTTTTTTTTTTTTTTGTTCGATATTCATCTTTTATTATCCAACTTCAATTGAAAAGAGGCCGGGGACCTCACAATTCAACCCGGAGTTATCCCGGCAGCATCAGCCGGTTTAGCTTAGTTAAATGGAAAAAACCTCGTATCTTTTATCACGAATGCAAAAAGGACTCTAATCTACAGCAGATAACATTGCATGAGTTAACGATTACTTAACATCTCACAGAGAATTCGTACTTCAATATTTACCTAAGTCTATACTACTAATCCTATCTAACTCTATCTTATTATATTCTAATTCATAGACCTAACAAACGGTCTGGCACACGGCCCAGGAACGGCCGAGAGGAACCTTGTTCCATTAAGAAGTCACCTGACACTCTCCTACCCACCCTCCCTTTGCGTCCTACTGTGGGCCCCGACAGGAACCGAGTGCACCTGGTTCTTTGCAGAGCGAATATTTATGACCACAGACTTATGGTCCGACAGCGAGTCAGAGACTGTTCTCGACGAGATAACTTCCTGGACCAGCAGTTCTGAGATCAGGAAGAAGTCCAGGTGCCGTTTCACTCCTGCTGCTGGCCCCGGATTACCAAACCAGGTAAAGCCCGGCACGAGCGGGTTCATCTCTCTGAAAATATCTCTTAAGGCCCAGGCTTCTTTCCATTTCATCAAAGCCCGCTGGTCTGAGTGGATACTCGTGCCAGCTTCAGCATCAATCCCTGGATCAAGAACTAGATTCCAATCACCTCCTATCACTGTTCTCTCCGAGTTGGGCAGGCAAAAGGGGAGAGTTTCTATGAACTCCCTTCGATCTTTCTGTTCGTTGGGAGCATAGACTGTCGTGAAGACCCAATCCGCATCCCCAATCGAAACCTTAACCCAACACCAGCGCCCCCACTAGTCAGAGTCGCAGTCAATAAGTCTGGCATCAATCCTTTTATGAAATAAAATGGCAACCCCACCTTTGGACCCTCTCGCGGGGGACCAAAGTTGAGGTCCATCCCACCATTCCTTCATTCTCAATAATTTCTCTTCCGACAATTTGGTTTCCTGAATCATTGCAATGTCGATATCGTTCTCATGCAACCAAGACTTCAACCTCTTCCCTTTTTCCCTACCACCCGAGTCACCCAGGCCATGCACGTTCCATGTAGCGACTTTTAGCTTATTCATTCGAACCTGGAAGACCGCCTGATGGTTGGATGCGGTTGGAGGCGTCAGCGGGTCTTGCATCGCTGCCTGTTGCCAGGTTGTCTGGCCACTGTTCGCTCAGTGATTCAGCAAATAGTGTCGAAGAGAAATTTTGCCAGCGAGGCAATGTGTTCTTCAGGTCTTCTAGAATCGTCGCAGGTACTCCTGGATCCACTACCATTTGCGCCAACATCACTACCGAGGGATCTGTGAAAGCTTGGATATGGACGCTAGTCAAGCCTACCCGACTGATGTTAGGCCACTGATCATCTTGAAACCTAGCGGCGATGAGGGGTATGGAGTAGCGAATCCTTTTTCCTCCTGGCAGATCAAGATCTAATTTGGGCATTAAACCATCCGGACAGATGCGGAAAGAAAAGTGGTCAGCGAACAATTCTTTTACCTTACGTAAGATCAGTTCTGGGGTTGCCAGACCATCGATCTGCTGAGCAGGAAGAGTCATCTTACCTTCTTTGTTGACGAGACCGATCACATGCACTGCTTGCGCTTGCAAAGTACACACAAGCGGCAGTAGCCATCTCTCTTCATACCCGGTGGCACCTCCCTCAGGGGAAGGGATACCACCTGGGACACGACCTGGAGAGGCACCAAGTGTCCCACTTCCACTCAGGTCTTGTGAACCACTATGTGGACCGTTACTTGATTGTGCCTGTACTTGGTGGATCTCCTTTATGCCGTCCCCATTCACAGCAAGGGTGGTACCTCCAATCATGCCACCAGCTTGGCCTATTGGAACATTGCTTGAACCTGGATAAGCCGCCAGGGGCCTAGAAGGGCCGGCCGGTGATGCTCCATAATAACCTCCTGGAGGGTTGGCGAATTGGCCTCCGCTGTACGGATAGCCGCATGGCGGTGATATAGCCGGATTAGCTCCTGCCAACGAATTGCTGAGCCGAGGGTCTTGGTTCAGAGCTTGGTACAGTGCCTGCCATTGGTAGACATCTGGATGTGTTCCTCCTGCCAGCGGAATTGGGGCTGGATGTTGTTGTATCCATGTGCCCTGTTGTTGTTGTGGTATGACTGCCGCCGCCGCATTAAGAGTGTTCTGAGGTTGCTGTACAAGTGGTCTACTCTGGTTGCCTTGAGACGAGGAGCTTGATTCAGAGTGACCAATCGCGCTTGGATGGACCTCTCTTGCTGCTGCCCAGATACCTCTATTTAGCGTTCCATCTCCATCCCCTCCCCGTCTTGTTCCGAGGTTGTTCTCTCTGGCTCCACTGTTCGGTTGTTGTTCTTGTTGCACTTCCCCTTGTCTCGGACAGCCCTCCGTTGCCGTGTGGAAGTACCAACGGCAAGTATCACACCACGGGGTGTTCTTGCAGGCAAATTTTATGTAATAAATTTCGCCGTCGTCCAGCTTAATAGACAAATCCTCTTCGAATCTCTCCTCTGCCTCACGTACCAATTCAAATTTTAAGTTCATGAGTTTTGGTCTGGATTTGTCCGGTTCCGGAGGAATCGCCTTGATTACTCGACCCATCGCGGTTTCCACCATGCTTTCCACATGGAACATTACTCGAAGAGGCACTCTCAGTGCCACCACCCAGAATTTGGAGTCATCCTCAAGTCGCCTGCGTTCCTCCAGTTCCGCCTTGGTCAGCCAAGGCTTAAAAACCATACCGTACTCGACCTCTCGAATCGTTACCTTGTCTTCCCCTTTCGCAATCATCCACTGAGCCACCTCCCTGGACTTAGCTACATATGAGAGTACGTTTGGTCCCTCTCCATGAATTCTTCCCCGTTTTACTGATCTGTCAAAAATCCTCTCTCTATACCAGCCATTCTCGTATGCCCGCACCAGATCTTCTCTAGTTCTGAGCGGAAGGTCTCTTGCTTCACCTTGGAAGATGACCGTCACGGTTCTCTCCTTGAGCCAAGCTGTTACAAGCGTATCCAGACCTTGGTTGACTTTGAAGAGACGAATCCCACCCTCTACCACCCATTCACCATGCCGGAACTTCCCCGGAATGATTCCCTCCTCGTAGCATTTCGCGATGAGCATCCTCATCCGATCTTCATTTGATATGGAGATGTCCGTCCTTGTGGTAGGTGTCGTAGCTCTGCCATCCTCCTGTGGTGTAGAAATTCCTTGATCTGCCATCTTGAAGTCTGTTTTATATCCGTCACTTGTCAACACTGGCTATAGAATCTCGCGTCAAAGGCGAGCGCTGTTCAGCGCGCGCCCATTATAATACCAACACAACAAAGATTGCTGTCACGACATACACGACATATCTGTATTACTTGAGAGAATGCTCTACCACGCAGGCTCGTCGATGGGAGGTCGGAGATCCTCGGCGTTCCCGAGGTTACGTCAACCCTAGTTGCTCGCACGTCTTGGCGGCGAGTCAAGCGATCGACGAGACCGGCCGCTTCACCGTTCGGCCGGTACCGCAAGTTAGGAGCGCTGCTGCGCCAACCCCTCGCACCCCTCCAGTTTCCTGATAGTTTTTTTTGCTTTTTGTCCATGCCTAGGATACTACGTGATTGCCTCCAGATTCATGTTATGTTTCTGCATAACATAGTTTTTTTCAGGTTTTTCTTTTTTCATTTGTTTGTTTTCTTTTTCAGCTGTGACCTTCTTTGGTCCTTGCCCGGCCGGGTCAACCGGCAAACAAGGTGACCGGGCCGCCCGGCTGGTAGCCTAGAATACTACGTGATTGCCTCCAGATTCATGCTATACGGGACACAAGACCGGGGAGACACATTTTTTTGAAAGCCATTTTCCTTCTTTTTTTCCCCATGTCATGCCCTCCAGCTTCATGATCAGGGGCACAGCTTCTGAAGGCCCTCGCAAACTTGTACTCTCTTTGCGCAAATGTATAGTGAACCAATCGCGGTCCAAAAACACTGCACGATGGTCCTGCATTGCTCCCCGTGATCTTCAACTCCTGAAGGATCCGAGCCACCTGCCACCATGCCGCTATGTACTTGACACTTGTATTCAATCGTTCGCCACGACGCCAGCTACATACCCCAAAACGACAAACCCGAAAGAATGTGAGGCCTAAAACTGAAACCGAGTCCTCATAGAGCCAAGGGAGGGGGGGGGGGGGGGGGGGGGGGCCCCCCGGCACCCCGAGAATCGAAAAGCACAGCCACCGTTCCAGACCCTGACCTCGTTATCAAGGACCCGCCTAGAGGAACCGCAAGGTCCGTGGGGCTGCGGGAAATTTCATTTTGCTGGGCCCAGTGGGAAGTGACTTCCAGGGCCCGGCTTTCAATTTAATAGTTAGTGGATGGATGGATTACTACAACTTCTTTTTGTTATGCGGAAACTACACGGCAGTCACAAAAATGAGTTTTGATTGCAGTATGGGCCAAGATACAGTTTCAAATTGCAGTTCTGGAGATGTATACAATCCAGCTTTCTGGTCAGGTAGGGTGCCCGAAGTGCAATTGCAAATTGTCTCTTGCCCCATGAGAGTGCAATTATAACTCGTTTTTGTGACTGTATTGAAGTTACCCCTTTTATTATTGTAGTAAGAGTTCCCCCCCCCCCCCCCCTCAATGCTGCTGTTTGCGTTCTGTTTGAGTTGGGCCATCCATCCCTCTGAGTACTGAATTTGAGTGTTGTGCCAAATAGTCAGCGTCCGCCTGTACAGAGTGCCTGTAACACTGTTAGGGTGTGGCCGCGATCCGGACTGTCTCCGTGTTTTCTGCTGGTGATGGACATTTGTGGGTGTCTTCCTGGCTCTTGATGGGGTGTGGTGAACCAACAGTCCGCCATATTTTTTATATGGTGTGAGTGGGTCATAGTAGTCCACTTCCTTCCACGCTGCATCCTCGAGTTCTTGTGTTCGTCAAAAAAATAAAAATAAAAATAAAAGTAAGACTTCTGCGCATTGCACCGTTGAGCTAGCTCAACTTGACGGTGTAAAATTGGGACTTGGGCCCCGGTCCGTCAGGAGCTCCTTGAAGTTCATGTCCCCCCGCTGACATGGCACTTTAGCAGTGCCACCACTTACGACTCATTGTGTTGGTGTCCTGTGTCCACGTGCCTGTCCACGTGCCTGTCCACAAGCCTGCCCGTCTGCTTGCTTCACCGTTCACTTGGCTTGCCTTGCCTTGTGTTGCCTTGCCCTGCTGCACAGTTGCCTTGCCGGCTGCTCGCTTGCTCGGGGCTTGCTGCTCACTTACCTTGCCTTCCTGTTCACTTGCCTTCATGTTCTTCGCCTTGCCGTTCACTTGCCTAGCCTTGTATTGCCTTGCTGCCTTGTCATTCGCTTGGATGGCTGCCCTTGGCTTGGCATTCACACTTGCCTAGCCTTGCCTTGCCTTCTGTTCACTTGCCTCGTCGTACCTTGCCTTGCTGCTCACTTACCTTGCCTTCATGTTCTTTGCCTTGTATTGCCTTGTCGTGCCTTGTCATTCACTTGGATGTCTGTCCTTGGCTTGGCATTCACACTTGCCTAGCCTTGCCTTGCCTTCTGTTCGCTTGCCTCGTCCTACCTTGCCTTGCTGTTCAGTTCCCTCTCCTTGCCTACCTTGTCATGAACTTGCCTTGCCTTGCCTTGCCTTGCCTTGCCTTGCCTTGCTGTTCACTTGCTTTGACTCGCCTCTTCACTCGCCATGCCTTGCCGTGCCGTTCACTTGCCTTGCCTGTCCTCGCCACCCTGTTCACTTCCTTGGCTTGCCTGGCTTTTCACTTGCCTTGCCTTGCCTCGTCATTCACTTGTGCTGTTCACTTGCCTTGCCTAGCTGTTCATGTGCCATTCCTTCACTTGCCTTGGCTTGCTCTTCATTTGCCTTGCCTTGCTGTTCATTTGCCTTCCCTTGCTGTTTGTTTGCCTTGCCTTGCCCTCCTTCGTAACTCACATGCATTGCCTCACTGCCTGCCGCACCTCGCCATGCCTTCTGGTAGCCTGTACCTTGCCACGTCTTGTCCTGCTGCCTTGCTGCATACTGTGTGTCGTCTTCCTGCCTTTGTGCTTTCTGTGCCTCACCTGTCTGGGCGCCTGTTGTGCCTTGCCGTGCCTTCCCATGCTGCCTTGCTGCGTATCGTGGCTTGCCTTGCTGCATATCGTGGCTTGCCTTCCTGCCGTCCTGCACCTTGTCTATGTTGTGTTGCAAGCTTTCCTTTGTTTGTCCACAACGGAACAGGGATTGAAGCTTAGTTATGACACAGTGCATTTTTTGTGAGAGGATTGCGTAGACTGTCAAGAGTTTGAGCCTCCTAATGAGTTGCTGCGAGTCCAATGAAACACTCCAGCATTATTCCTGTTCTTTACCTCTGTTCTGTATTCCTGAAGTGTTGTCTGTTTTTGTTGTTATGCTTGGCATTGCTTGCATATGCGTGGTGATCTTTGGGAATAGTCGTGCCAGCCAAATAGCAAATTTCTCTAGGAGGGGTGTGGTTACGGCCCAAAACTGGGGCACCAGAATAGTCATATTGCAGCTTGTTGTGGGGTTTTCTTAGTGCTTTGAACAATGGGCTACTCCACACACACACACACACACACACACACACAC